ACAACCTGGAAACCAGCACAGACCAATTATGGCTTCTGCTTTGGCAGGGGGCTGACAGACAGAGACTTTCTACATTTTGGAGTCATCAATACCTCAGATTCTGACACTTTGCAATACCAAATTCGAGCTGCTCTCGAAAAATCCTTGCAGGCAAATGAAAGAAAAAAGAGTGGAGGCAAGCTTGGGATGGGTGGAGTGGGATTTCTGCAAGGGAAAAGGGGTTTTCCAGTGTGGTAAGCACATTTTCTTCTCAGGATTTTCATAGAGGTGCAAAAAGAGAAATGAAAGAGAAAACAATTTCTATTTCTGCTCCTTGTTTTCCCACGTGGAATGTGTTTGGAGAATTATTTACCAGGGGTGATTGCTGGGCTGGATTCTGGTGAGGATTGTTTGAGCCTGGGGCTGGACTCTCAACAGAGGATTCTGAGTTGTGAGATTTGGTAGTTAGAAAAGCAGGTTTGTAGTTTTAGTATTTCATTTATATAGTATATTAATGTATTTTAGCATAGCTATAATAAAGAAATCATTCAGCCTTCCAAATTGAGTCAGACATTGTAATTTCTTCCCATTGGCTTCGCCTCCATTTACCATTTTGCAGTGATAAAAATCCGTTTAATGTTTCTGACGTTGGTTGGGCCGGGTGAGGCTGCAGAGACCCTGGCAGGGGCTGTGCCCTCCTCCTCCCTGGCAGTGCCCCAGGCCAGGCTGAGCTTGGAGCAGCCTGGCATGGGGAAGGTGTCCCTGCCTTGGAATGGGATCCACCCAAACCTCCGGGATTTCACGCCAAGCTGACTCTCAGGGACACAGCCTGAGAGTCTATATAAAAAATATAATATTATTATATTATTTATATTGATATAAAATTATCTATTATTTCTATTTTATATTATTTATTATATAATATTCTATTATTTATATTGATATATAATCATCTATTATATATATTATATATATATTTATTATATATTCTATAATATTATGTTATTTATAGTGATATATAATTATCTACTGTATATATTTTATATATATATTATTATATATTCGATAATATTTTTGTTATTTATATAGATATATAATTATTACATATTTTAATTTTTATTATATATTATATAATATTATTATATTATTTATATTTTTATATCATTATCTATTTTTTATATATGTGTGTATATATATATATATATATATATATATATATATATATATATACTCCCCCTGGCAGCACCACTGCCCTGTCCTGGGTTAAGTGTGGATTCAATTTCCCTCTGCCAGAGGAATTTCCCCTGGGGCAGCTCTCCTCTGCTCACTGGGCAGTTCTCTTCATCTCTTCCACAAACCAATCCCCCCTCCAGGATATCTCCTCTGGTCATGGGCCATTAATTATTAATTATCTTCTGTTCATGAGCCATTAATTATTAACAATCTCCTGTTCATGGCCATTGAGTGTCCCTGCATGGCCGAGAAAATTCCATCATCCCATGGGGAGATGCTCTGCCCAGGGGAGGAGCCAAGAATTCCTACCTGGATACAATCTGGGATTTTGGGATACCAGAACAGCCTTTGCCCCCTGCATTCCCAGAGGAGCAGCTTTCTCCCCCTGCATTCCCAGAGGAGCAGCTT